GGCACATAGTGTTAGCCATCGAATAAAGTTGAAAATAAAAAATCGGTAAAAATTTCCCTAAAACCTTGAGAGTATCCTTAAGCGGAAACAACCTTTGGAGATCGATTTTCAAACAAAATAAACAAAACAAATGGCAGTAAACACATTCCGAGCGACACGTGGCCGACGAACAGTTAGCGTCGTCTACCGAATCCCGCCACACATCTGTCAATCGAATTACGCATGTTTACCCGTTTCCATCCGATGACGACCGGAGGCGCCACGTGGCACCACCTGGTGGTGCTTTTCCACTCTGCGTGAGACGACGCCACGAGGGGGAGCTCTGCTGCTCGACGCGGACGTCTGCGGCAAGTCGTCGTTGATGCGGTGGCGCCCTCGTTTGGCGTCGATGGGCTTACCGAGTCGTTCGTGAACGGACTTCTTCGTGACGACAGCGTGGGCTGCAGGAAAAAAAAATTTTCAATTTATTTTTCGGGGGCTACTTTTCAAGCTCGCGTGCATGAAAATAGCATTGTAAAATTTGGTTTGCATTGAACTCTATGCAAATTTACGGAGGCTCTTTTTGGCATTTCGGGGGCTAAATCGCCCTGAGCCCCCGTGTATTTTTTTCACTGGTGGGCTGTGAACAGCAGCGTAACGGCATCAGTCACCAACCCTCGATACACGTCAGATACAAAAGTACAACGACAGGGTTTCTCATACATAAGAGGCACTGCGGCGCAACGCCGTTGTCAAATTTAACATCGCCGTTGTGAAAATGTTTCTGTATTTACCCACCATTGTCAAAATAAATTGCCATAAAAACTTAATTTAATTAATTAATTAATTACATTTAATTAAGTAATTAAATTTAATTAAATTTAGATTGCCATGTGCGTTTACTGAGTCATGTGACGCGGGGTCCTATGCCTACGGCACGCTTTTGAATATATCATGCGCGTTTTTTCCCCAAACTGGCCATTACCTCCTTTTTCCCTCAGAAGAAACCCTGCAACGACGTGCACTTACTGTCTTTTAGTTTTATAGTCGGATATTTGGTAGAATATGTCCCTCGAAAGAACCGTTTTATCAAGTACAGTGGAACCCCGATTTTATGCGCCCGGATTTAACGCGAATTCGGATATAACGCGACGAGTCGTTGGACCCGCTTTTTTCTGCTTATATATAGCCACGTATATATAACCCCCGATTTCGCGCGACCCCGTTTTTTTTCGCGATGACATTTTATGGACCCCAACCATCGCGTTATAACGGTGCTACACTGTAATTTTTAAAGAACTGCTTAAAGAAATGCTTAGGGTTAAGATTGACGTTAGTGTTAGGTTAGAAAGTTACGGTTAGGGAACAGTGTTAGGGGAAACTGTTTGGTAGATTTTCGTTACAATGAATTCAGCTCCATTATTCAGTTTCAAAAGCTACCATAAAATTTAACACAAAAACGAAACACGGCATGTAGACACGCGGCACGAACATGCGGCATGCTAGCGCCACCTACCTGCGCTGCTCAGCGTTATGCTGAAGGGCGGCGTCGCCGTGCCAACCGCCTCCGCGTCGCGTCTCGCCCGCTTCGCGCCGCCGGCCTCCGCTCCACCGAGAATCACGATGCGGTTCGACTTGTGTCGCTTGCGCGGACGCGTCGCCACGGCGACGCAGCGCCGGCGAGCGCGACATCCGCTGCGGCGACCTCGACGCCGCCGCGGCCGGCGACAAGCGAACATTCGTCGCCGGCGACCAGGCGACGGTCACGACGCTCGACAGCAGCGGCTTCGTCGGCCGCGTCGTCGCATCACCGTCGAGTTGCGTTCGCCGAAGTTGAGCCGGTCTTTGACGGAGGCGGTCGGCCCGCGGCGACGGAGCGGCGCGGAGGCGCCTGCGGGGCGCGCGCCGACCGGTCGTCGGTTGTTGCCGCGCTCGCTACAGGACGCGCCGCGACGCCGCGTTGTTCTCGCGGCCCGCGCGCTGCCTCAACCACGCCTTCCTGCCGCCGTCGCCGTTCCTCCTCCTCCTCCTCCTCACCTCCACGCCGGTGCCCTCCTCAAGCCGCTGCCCTCCCCGTCAGAGCTGTCCCACTCCGGCATCGGCTCGCGCTGCGGCCGGTACCGCGTCCGCAGTGGATTGCGGCGCCGTCTCCTCCTCCTCCGCCGTTGTCGTCGTCATCGTCGTCGTCGCGTGTCTCCTCTCGCGATCCTTCCCGCGCTTCGTCTTCTTCTTGCCGTGTCTCCTCGACGGGCTTCCTCTCGTCGTCGCCGCCGCGCCGACGATCGCGCGCAGAGACACCGTCGTCTTCCTCGCGGCGTCGCCGACGACGCCTACGCCGCCGCCGAACTTGCGCCGCCGCGCTCGAGCACCGTCTCGTCGGACGCGGCCGTCGTCTCGTCTCGCGACGGTGGAGACCTCGCGGCGGCAGCGGTGGGGGAGGGGGCAGCCGGCTCCCGGGAGGAGCCTCGCTCCCAGCAGAGCCCCCCCCCTCCCCGCCGCTTCCTCGGCTTCAGCCGCAGCCTGAGATCGGGCGGCGTCCTCGCGGCGCGCCTGTCGCCTTGACGACCGCGCCAACTCGTCCCGCGGTCGCCGCCGGTCGGCCGGAACGGTCGCGACAACGACGCCGCGCCGTCCGTCAGCACCGCTCGCGCCGCGGCCCGGGCAAGACGCCCCGCGACGCACCGGCGCCCCCTCGCGGCGAGCACGAGCGCCGCCGCGCGCCGCGTCTGCCGACGGACGAGCGGACGTGCGGCGAGCGCCGGCGAGGGGCGAGCGCGGGGATCGACGCGCGGCGGCGGGGCGACCACGCGGGACGTCCGGCGCCGGCGGTCGTCGTCGGCGACGCGCGCCCTCCTCGCCGTTTCTTCGCTTCTGCTCTCGTCATTCGTCGTCGCGGCGTTGGAGCCTGTCCTCGCTGTTCTCTGTTCGTTCTCGCGCGTCGCTCCGACTCTCTCTCGCGCCGGCGGCGGCGGGAGGAGGCGACGGCGACGTTCGTTCGTCGGTGTCCGGTCTCGTCGGCTGCGGAGAGATCGACGGGAGATCGGCCGCTGCGCTCGAACGCGCGTCGTCGTCGTCGCCGTTGCACGCCGCCGCGTCGGCGTCTTCCTCCGTGCCGGCCTCGACTTCCCGCTTGTCCGAGTCGTCGCCGCTCCCGTCGTTGTTGTTGACGTCGTCGTCGTCGTCGTCGCTGCTGTTGCTGTGGACGCTGCTTCGCTCTGATTCGCTGACGCTGTCCTCATCGTCGTCGCTGTCCGTATCCTCGAACCGGCTGAACTTGTCGCTGCCTGCGACACCGAAAACAAGAGCGCATGCCTTTATGATTTTCGGTGCTCGCGAGTGAGAATGCGCTTCAACGCTCGCGACTTCGCGTGGCTAGGATCGGTTAGGTCCGCGAAGTTCAATGTGACGATAACTTTAGCTGGACAGGTTTCCCAGTAGCGCGGTCACAACTGCACCTTTACGGGCAAGATAAACCGGCAGAACAACATGACGAATATATGAATAATAATAAAGCCATCTATAGAATATTATACACGATTCCTTCGCCCATCACTCCGTGCTTTCTGTGACAGCATATGAAAAGCTTCCCTACATAACAGAGACCGACCGGCGATTCTACGGCGATCTAGCATACCGTTCTGAGAACGTTGATAACTCGAACACAAATTTCCCGATTAAAACGTCAAATCGCGACCCGAACCTAAAAAAACTCGCACAACCGCCGGGACGTGAGGCGTTCCACGACCTTCGCGGTCGGAAGGACAAGGCCGACTAACCTTTGGGTTTTGGCGGGGTAGCTGCTGCTGCTGTGACGGGTTGCCGCGTGGCAGACCAGCTGCCACGTATGCTCATCGTCGGAGCGGGGAAGCGCCGCGGGAAGTACTCCGCCGATCGCGGGAAGGTCTGCGCCGATCGCGGGAAGGCCTGCGCCGATCGCGGGAAGGCCTGCGCCGATCGCGGGAAGGCCTGCGCCGATCGCTGGAAGGCCTGCGCCGATCGCGGAAGCTGTTGCTCCCTCGTGTGGATGACGAGCAGGTTGCCACCGCGACAACCTATGGGCCATCTCGCGGGCTGGTCGGACGTGTCGCTCGAAGGGTACTGCCGAAACAACGTTCCTGTTCGTTACAAATCTTGCGCACATCTAAATCCACGTCCGTGTCTGCGTCGCTCGCAGTCAAAACGTCTATGTCTATCGAAGTAATGTCGATCATAGATGATCGTTATGTTACTTGGAACAACTTTTTCGCATCGAGTAAAAACGGTATCCGAATTACTTCATTTAGGAAATGAGTGGACTATAGTCATCATTTAATAGGGTCCTTACAAACTATGTCTGGACAATAACCTTGGCTTTCTTCCTATCCATGTAAGCGCTCCTTGCAAAAAGACTACCTCACATTCCACCACACTCACCTTTTGTAGCCGTCAGAGTCAGGTCAGCAGTTTGTGTTCATTGCCAACTTGATTTTGGGCTTCGGTAGCACCACAAGAGACGAGACTAGGAATTTCTAATTTTCGAGTCATAATTTTACGCTACTTAGGTTCGAGCTTTACGATAACGTATGTCGGGACACGTACCTGTCTTGTCTCGTTGGCAACGGTGGCTTTCTTCGTGAGCAGCGCCTGCTCTCTCAATGCCTTTAGTTCTGCATCTTCTCCAATATCGTCTGCAGATTGACTCCTGTCTCCGGGACTACTGTCGACATTCTTCTGTAATGTGAAGCACGCAAATATCCGACGACTTAGATACAATGCTTGCATACTTCCTTCACCATGTACACATACGATACCAAGGAATTATGCACTGCGAGCATGCAATCAATGGTTCCATATAAAAATCAAGATATTGTTGCTATAATAATACGCTGCACAAGACCTTTGTTCAGTCTGACAAGTTATTGTTCAGTGGTACAGGGTGCGAAATTAACGGTAGTCCGGTAGTTAAAAACTACTAGATTTACACACGGACGAGTAGATTACAGTAAAAACTAGTCCGGTGGACTAGCTAACTTAACGTGACTCTATTCATTTTTGACTGACAAGGACGAATAAACTGATGAGTTAATTTATTTATCTTTCCTGTAAGTTCTGATATAACCTCACATTAAATAAGTTAAATAACCACCATTAATTGTCAGCTACGACTTAAAACTGATATTCTATATCAAGCACGTTGAGTAATTGATCGACATGGGCGCAGCCACGTTTATTGCTGTGCTTTCATGTAGATGGACACCATTCCTTTTGGCAAAACTAGCTATAGGTTACAGAACTTCAGGCAATATGCAATTAGTTCGTTTTTTACTGGCGTATATTAAAAGAAAGTAGTAGTAACTGTACGATAGTTTCATCGTAAAGACAATTTTAAACACGAATCTCTGTAATCATGTTTCTTTCATGGTAAATACTCAATTGTATATTAAATTTTTATGGTATTTTACTATTTTATACTCATTCAATAACCATTTATATATACGTTTATATTTTTAACAAGAAAATTATCATTTTAGGCAAACAGGTATGATGTGAATTTTTAGAAAGTATAGTTTTATATTGTCGTGAATCTACAAGATGTTACTAATGTTTCTAACGTAATTGTGGTATATCCGTGATATCAAGAGTAATGTGAGTGAATTGAAACTTGTGTTACTGTGTAATATGCGTCAATTAAGACTTCTGTTACTATTAATGTGAGTGAAATAAAACTACGGACAGTGTCCAAAAAACATTTGAACTACCAGAATTGCTCACAGACTGCCAAATTACAAAATCTAGTAGTCCATATGACTACCAGGTAATAAAGGTTAATTTCACACCCTGGTGGTACACATCGGTGAATAGAGGATTAAATCACGGCATGTATACCATGCATTAATCTAAAGCTTGAATAAAACACCTAATTCCCTGTTACTGTGAGTACAGCGTGTACGATTACACCAACACCGTCTTACCGTCCTCAGTGATGCCAGCACTAATGAACGAAGAGCATCCAAATCTTCCTGAAAGTAGAAATATACATCGCTGTAGATGAGTAAAATAGTGGTTGAGAAAACACTCGCAATCCAGAGCCGATTGTCGTCGAGTGGGACGGTCACTTAACGGCGGTTACATCACGGACGTTTACATCGCTGCCTCTCAGTTATATACTGATTACTGTGTGATACTTGCATATTAGTTGGATAGTAAAACGCCTGGCTGCTTTCAGGATGCAAAAGGTTGAAAGCTTGTTTCGTCGCTCACATACCGTACGTCACAGTTTCGACTGTACAAAATTAAATTTTTATTTTTTAATAGGGTTAGGGTTATTTTTTAGAGTTAGGGTTAGGGTCGCAATGCACCTTAAAACAGGAGTTTGAGTGCGTACGGGCGACGTCACTTGCTTTCAGGATAGCTAACCTTTAGTTATAAAGTAACAAATTAGGCCTACAGTTTAGTGTCAAAAGTCAACACCGTCAGAGGTGGGTACCAATTCGGGTATGATACTTTTATACACTAGGTTTGCAGTTGTTTTAATACAGTATAATACAACCAACTTTTTCTACATCATATGGATACACATTTACTAACATAATTAAAATACTTAAGTCACATATAACTAGGTCATGCACTATTTCAATTTTTGAGAACTTATTTTCCTTACTTCTTCAGCCATTGTTTAAATCCCACAATGCCACATTTTCACAGTAGCTGAGCATCGTTCGAAGGACGCGCCGCTTGTGGCGCGGCAATCGTTTATACAGAACCTAGACTGGTACTCGCTCCCACCTCGATTACCCTTACCCTTACCCTAACCCTAACCCTAACCCTAACCATAACCCTAACCCTAAGCCGATAGGTGGGACCGGGTACCAGTCTAACACAGAACCCAGAATGCACCGAGGTGTATAAAACTTGGTAAACTTCACAAACTTTCTAACGTTGGATACGAAAATACGGATTTTTTTGCGGTAAAATACGAATGTGGTTATCCATTGCTTAAATGAATACATAACCGAGTGAATACCAAGGTTTACAAAGAAACGAAAGAAGTTAGTATAGTGGAAACGTGAAAGCTGCTACTTAGGCACGACTCACAACCGACTCCACCTGTTACTCCAAGTCCAACTTGCGGAAAAGCTCCCGCCCAACATTCGATTTGGAAATGAAATCGAAAACCAAGAAACAGCGAGGGATATATTTCCTAACGTTTATCGTGTGCGTGGCGTGTATGTCATTGCTGGGCGCAGCGCTCGGAACCGATTACTGGGTGGTCTCGAATCCCCGACGCGAGGTGGAACAGGTGGGCGTAGTGGAGGTGAATGATATGGACACAAGTTACGGAGAAAGGTTTCGAGGAACACTACACCTGGGACTGTTCAGCGGTCACAAAGTCTTCGACAGTGGATTTGGGACGGCTGGACGAGCGCAGGATTTGAATGGTAAGTTTACGTTTCTAATTTCTCATAGATCAAATGCAGTGTTGCCTGTTGGTCTGTTGATCAACTTTGTCTTTGTCTTTTTCCCTCTTCGATATCGTCCTTTGGACGTTGAAGACTAATATTTACGAGGTTACGAGGAATTTCAATTGAAATCGCATCAGCTAGTTCAAAAGTACCAATTAATAAACCATCTGTGAAAATAATTTTGCGTGTTTATTTTCAGTGGTGAGGCTGTACGTCGACACTGGGTTATTCAACTATAGTCTGTGGATTACAACTGTGATTTTTGCGTGCATCGCCGTACTATGGGGGCTGGTCGCAGCAATATTCGCTCTCATAAACGCCACATCAAACCCCATAGAGACAATAACAGGGCCGATGGGTCTATATCTTTGGAATGGAATTGCGTGTAAGTATCTACAAGTAGCGATATTTGCTCAATCTTAGTTTGGTACCCTGATATATATATATATATGGTTCGCATATGTGCTAAACTAGGATTGGGCTGTCGTATTTCATAGCATATATAGTTGGCATGTGCCAGTTTGCACTGTGACTGAGCAGTGACCTTCTCCAGTTCGTCTAAACTGGCCTACACCTGTCTGTTTGTACTAGAATTGGCACAGAAAGCAACGTTATTGAACAAACCATTCCTGTTAACTAGCAGAGCATCAATGGTATCAGGAGCGTATAATGACAAATGCGTATAAGGAGCGTATAATGACAAGGAGCGTATTTGTCATTATACGCTCCTGATGGTATGGTATGTAGCGAAGCATCAGTGTTATGTAGCGAAGTGTCAATGTCATTATAGTGTTGTGGGCTCTTCCCCCTGAACACTCAACTAAACACGTCGTTTTCTGCTCATCACGCCGGCTCTCAGACCCGGATGTTTATTATTACCATATATATAGTGTTATGTAAACTATACTGTCATAAATCGTTCGTACATAAAAGATTGCAGTAAGTAAACCAACACATTGACTACACTGTACAGTTATGTAGCTAAGCATCAATGTTATGTAGCAAAGGATTAATGTTACATATCTAAACATCAATGACACAATGATACACAGCTAAATATATGTTATGTAGCGAAGCATCAATGGTATGTTATGTAGCAAAGCATCAGTGTTACATAGCTAAACATGTATGTTATGTAGCGAAGCATCAATGGTACATTATGTAGTGAAGCATCAGTGTTACATAGCAAAGTGTCAATGTTACATAGTTAATCATCTATGTTACATAGCTAAACATCTATTTATGTAGCGAAGCATCAGTGTTATGTTATGTAGCGAAGCATCAATGGTATGTTGTGTAGCGAAGCATCAATGGTATGTTATGTAGCGAAGCATCAGTGTTATGTAGTTAAGTGTCAATGTTAGTGTTACATAGTTATACATAGATTTATTTTACATAGCTAAATATCTATGTTATGTAGCGAATCATCATTGTTACATAGCTAAACGTCCATGTTGCGTAGCGAAGCATCATTGTTACATAGCTAAACACCAACTTAGCGAGACTGCCTTCCAGATACCAATAACATCGTGAGTCGTCAGGTCGTTTGATGTTATTGTTAACCGGCTGTGTTGCTTGCAGGTCTGGTGTCGTTACTGTCGGTAATCATGTTCATAGCTCTCTTCTACAAGGACATCAACAAGAGCGCGTTGACTATAGCTGATCGACAAAACCTGTGGACGTCCAAGGACCTTACGCATGTTGGGTAAGCATCAATGTTGATGGGAGGTAAAGTAATTGAGGCTAAATGGAGAGACAGCAAGGTGTTTCAGTGCATTATGTTGTTAACGTTACGGTTTCAATAGAAGCTTCTGAACTGTTGCCATCTATTCAACGTTGCTCAAGTCTACTCCGACGAATTCGTTAACCGACAAGTTAGAAACATCGATATATATAATAGAAATAATTCGAAAGAAATAATAAATCGAAATCCGCCGCCGGAGACGCGCAGACGTACGCGCGCGCTCCGGCGACTCGCGACGGTTGCCATGACGATTTACGCTTGCGCTACAGGGTGTCGTTCTGGATGATTGTCGCGGCAACCATCGGCTTTGCGGTCAACGTGTGCCTGGTCGCGGTGAGCGGGATCCAGGTGAAGCCCATGAGTCAGACGACGGCGGTCAACGAGAAGAGCATGGACACGGTCATCATGTACTGATCGTCAGCGGTCAGCGTGCGGCCGTCCCGCCGGCGATCCGCAAGTATCCGCGACAGGCTGGTGCTGTGGCAAGGTGGTGCGTGGCAAGGTGGTGTATAGCGTGCTGGTATATGGCAAGTTGGTGTGTAGCGTGCTGCTGTATGGCTAGCTGATTGTCGTGGCGTATGGCAAGCTGATATATAGCAAGCTGTCTGTGGCAGGCTGATATGTGGCAAGTCATGTATTGCAAGCTTGTGTGGCAAGCTGGTCTATGGCAGGCTGATACATGGCAAGCTCATGTATGGCCAGCTCATGTATGGCCAGCTCACGTATGGCAAGCTGATACATGGCAAATCATGTATGGCAAGCTCATGTATGGCAAGATGGTCTATAACAGGCTGGTATATGACAAGCTGGTCTGGCAAGCTGATATAAGGCAGATGATCTATGGCAAGGCTGTTTGACAGATTTCACTGCTTCCATAGTTTTCTCAGCATCAGTGAAAGTAGTCATTGTCACATTCCTGTGTTGCGTCGACCTTAGCAGCAGGTATTGGTTGTAGTACAGCCAGTGCGGAGGGAATTCTGAGCAATTTCACTGCCAATGTCATGTTTAATGTTCCTCCTTTAGTCCATAATAGGCTAAATTCATAGAAATTTGTTCTGTTTGCGTATTATAGATAGATAGATAGATAATAGGTTTATTGCAAAACTAGTGTTAACAACGTTACAATTAAAATAAAGTTTGCAAACAAGATATCATCAGGCAGTATAAAACTGAAATTGATAATATTTACAATAATATATGTCTCATGGTAAGACATAGATATCACTTAAAATGTTGGTTCGTAAAT